AAGGAAATTTGCAATGGGTATAACTGAATACTAACTAACTATAAGATATTATAAAGCGAATTTAATGAAAAACATACCATTTGTACACTGTATAGCACCTCAGTATAAATAGGTGTTAAGAAACAAAACATGTCGACTGGTTTTATTTCATAATTTCAATAATTGTATGTCTATATTCGTAACGTTTTGGTACAGATATGTATCCATTAAAAACAAGACATATTGCTCTAAAGTGCTTATCTGTACCCATCAACTAATATCAAAAGTCCAAAAGCCTAACGTTTTCCAGGCAAGCCATTAAAACTTAAAATTGGTTGTCTCCTAATTTAATCTACTTCTATATCTCGAACATAAATTTGTTCGTGTTCGCGAAATTGAATACACGTTTCCAACTGAAGGACCAATAATTAAGGACAAACACAGATACAAGTTGGTATAAGGCACTGATTATCTTTTTTCTTTCTTACGCGATGTTTCATATACTGGATTCAAATAGCATATGGCATCCGTAATGAAGGGAAGAATAGAATATTTGAAATAAATAAAAACTTAATTCAAAATAGGTAGTGAAAGGTAGCTTTAATAGAAATCGTATTGTTCAGAAAATTTTTTAGATAACGAGACTTATTTTAAATTTAGACATATTTCATTTATTTATACCAAGCAAGTTTAATATGACAGCCAGCAATATCTGTGTTTCAAGATTTGCACCATAAAATGCTTCATGAATGTACAAAATATCCGCATCATCACATGTACAGATGATAAACCGTTTCATGCCAACCGTTTGAGCTGCTTGGCGCTTATTAATATATTATTTATGAGTTGTAAACCCTCGGTTACGTGTTTGAGGAGAGAGCTAAGTTCCGAGTAAATTCACGCAATCAGAGGCACCACTGTTAGCGCTTATACGCTGGAAGTAGCATGCATATACGTAACATTAGCTTATATGGGAGAAGTGAAACCTAACTTCATCTTGGTTTTCATTATTATTCTCAGTCCCAGAATTTTTATAAACATCGAGTAGTATGTAGACCAACTACATGTGACTTTTATCTGGGGCCGAGCGTAGCCTTGCAGATAACGTGCGTGATTGTGGACTTTCGGGTCTATTATTCGCGTTCCATTACCTCAAAATAATAATAATAATAAAATAATCACGCTCCTCATTTTAGGGCCGCAGGTGCATCGTAAAGGTGACGGTCAAAGCACACTATTCGGCCACACGAGAGTAGCCCAAAAGTCGGTTTTCCTCTATTGTGTCGTTTCTACAATCTTGTATAGGTTACTCACAGAAGCTATACTCAATAAGCTGTCGCAACATGCAAAGGAGAGAATGTAGTTTATTAAATAATGTATTGTATTCTTACAATAATATTAACACCCATAAAACAGAAATTTTTATATAGGCAAGAATTTGGACACGTTTATAAACAATTCGCACAGCTTTCTGCGTCAATTAACGAACTCCTCATTCTTCATTTTAATCAATATCATACTGGTGTTGCACATGGGACTCAATATCACACTGGTTTTGTTTCATATGTGTGATTTACAGCATGTCACAGTTGTTTGTTTGCATGTGTGTGTGTTTTACAGTAAGTTGCACTCGTTTTGTTGCATGTGTAGTTTTAGATCAGACAAGAACTGGCGGTGGCTGCTACTCACTAGTTACCTTCCCTCTTAGATTGTCAGTTAAAGATTAAGGATGGCTGTTCGCAGATAGTACTTGTATAGCTTTGCGCGAAATTCTTGAATAAACAAACAAAGATAGCTAAAAACTTGTTTACGTTAATCAACAAAGTAAAGTAACATGTACGCGTTCCACTCAGTCAATATCATGTTAGGTTTAATAAAATCCTAGCGTTGAATCAAAATATATACTACAAGAATACTCTTTAAAACCAAAGTGTAAAAGCAACATTCATAACTCTTAATCAATAATCAAGAAATGCAATAATGGTCATTCGAAAAAACACATTTAAAAAATAACCAAACCCTTAGATTTTATTACAATGTGATACAACCCATGCAGCAAAATAAGTGACACCCTCTAAACCACACACGCAACAAAACGAGTGTAATATACTATAAAACACACACGCAACCAAACAACTGTAACATGTTGTAAACCACACACACACAACAAAATGGGGGTAAAACATTGTAAACCACAGATGCAACCAAACAGCTGTAATTGGCTGTAAACTTCCTTCCCCCAACTCTATCTTTTTGTCGTTCTACGCTATGACGAGACGATATTAAATCCTTTGCCCTCTTTTTTTTACAACATAAATAAATGTTTCTATCTCTTATTAATTGTATCTGAGTTTTGGTGTACCATGATAACGACACGTTGTGGAAATGTCAATATTATAAAGGTAATAATTTATGCTCCAGTAAAAGGTAGTTCCTGATGCTGTTATTTTTAGTGAATGTGTTGTAAGAGTGATGGTCAAATCCCTTTAAACATAATAATATTCTGAATAACAGAGATATTATTGGGAAGGGTTAAACATAATAATATTCTGAATAACAGAGATATTATTGGGAAGGGTTAAACATAATAATATTCTGAATAACAGAGATATTATTCGGAAAACTATATGACCAAAGTGTTGAATTGTCGTAAACAGACGTCTAACAGAACTCCTCACTCACCACGTTGTACAATAAAAATTAATAATTTATATTCCGTTTTCTGTGTTCATTTTTTTTCACCTACAAGAAATTATATTGAATAACTGAAATTGACGATGGGTGAATCACCGAAATTGGCAGTGGTTGAATAACTGAAATTGGAAATGGGTGAATAAATGTCAACGACAATGGTTTAGTAGCTGAAAGTGGTTATGGTTGTATAAATAAAATAATTAAAACTTTAAGTTTGAAAATCCCATAATTAAGACTTGAAATATGAAAATCCCTAATTAAGACCCGAAGTTTGAAAATAACATACTTATGAGAATACGTCGATTAAAAATAAGTAAGAATTAAAGAGAAAATAGAAAAGAAATGCGATATGCGCTTTTTTGTTATAAGAAATAGAACTTTAGGGATCTATGGTCGTCGAAAACATGACTTTTAGTTGGACATCACTTTGCTGGAATATAGTACTTACGGGAAAAACTCGGGTGTTCGGTATTTCTTTCTAAAAAGGAAACTCGGCACTTCACAGTTTCTCTATACAATAATCTAAAGCGACACGAAAATATTTCAATCAAATATAAACATGCATTTTTGGACTCCAGCTTTATTAAATTTTCCAAAAGAATTTCAATACTATTAGACACAAAACTCGCCTATTTTTCTCAGTGATACACTTAAAGTGACGTTTTATTTTAGTGCCCTCGTACCTTGAAAGTTAAAGGATATACTAAGAACAGTTTCTTAAGAATTGTTATAAACAAAAAATTTCTAATAAGATAAAAATGATAAAAATAAACATTATTGCGAAGGTTTATCCAGTTCTTATTCAATAGATATAAATCCTCTCAAACAAGCATGATAATTAGAAAGAACAACATGTACAATTATTTGAACGATAAACTTAGCATCCTCAGTTCCAATAAACTGTCAAGTTTGATTATTGGACAGCAGCAAGCGTGCGAACTTTTAAATTATTTTATTTTAATGTGGTAAGTGTTTTTGTTTTTATTTTCCAATCGATTGGAGTAAACTCTCAATGGAGACTATTTAAAATAACACGTGCAACGTATTAATAATTTAAAATTTTGAAATGCGCTACGTTTTTTAAAATTATTTCCCTAATCGATGTGAGTAAACTTTCAACCACGATTATAAAGAAATAATGACACGCGCAAGATTTAAATGAATGACATAAGGTCTACAGCATGTAATTTACTTTCTTGTTAGGCTGGAATGAGTTCTCAGTGTTGATTATTAACCAGCAGAAAATGTACAAAACGTTAACGGTTTTAGTATTCAGTGAGGTTAGATATAGTCTAAAGTAGGGTTATTCAGTAGCAGAACCAAACTTAAAACGTTTGTACGTGTATTTATCAAGTTGGTTTTTAGTTCGTGCTCAGCTGGAATTAATTCTCATTCAAGAATCTAAAGAGTGTAAAATAACAATAGCACCTAATACTATATATATATATATATAACTAAAAAGTAACGATGGTAGCATATTTTTAAAACTGATATTTGCTATTAATTAAAATAATCACTTTGTTTTCAGTTTGTTACTTTTCAAATTCGAGGCGAAGTGGGTCTTATAAAACAAACATGTTTGTCTCATTCTTTCAAAAATGATTAAAAACTATTAACATTAGAAAGCTTACCGTATTGCCCCTAATTAACGTCTCCTCTCTAATTATCGCCCCTCCCCGGCATTTTTATAAAGCTTACCTTGTGTGACAGAAATAGTAATCCAACATTTAATCCACTTTTATTCCGCAATTTTGATTTGAAAAACACACACACACTTATTAGGATTGAAACCAACAAACCACATGTGAAAAGTAGGATCCGGAACTGCACAAATACTATAATTAGTGCCCCCTTTGCAGTTTGCAACGACCCCGGCGCCATTAATTAGGGGAAAAACGGTATATATAATTTCAATTTTATATGCAATAAATATTCAATGCAAGTATGTAATACATAACATACGAAAATAAACTGTATCATTAGTAGTCAAATAGTATAAGATAGACTATAGTCCACAGTTTATGTAGTTCCAAACCCTTAATTTAATGACAATATTGACATTCTAGATAAACGTATATTGAAAGATACTGTTTAATTAATAAACCCTTAAAACTGCTTCTCTGCATTATTCTCCAAGCAGGCTGGAAAACATTTGCAAATGTTATATGAAATTGGTAAAATTTGAATCTGTTAATTTTGGAGAACAAATAAATGGTTTAAACTCTATGCACGAAAAATATACAAATTGAACATGGTAGCATGCATTTATAATAATAATAAGAGCATATATATCAAAATAGATTTTCCAAACAAGAAACAGAACCTACTTCTTAGTGGATGTATGGACCGTATATCCAGATGTAGTGGTAGTGGGAAGAACTATGTCCACAGAACGCGAACGGTATGTCATTAAGTCATCTTCAGTTACTTCTTCTCCACCAGGAACGTTCAAGAATGGAGAATCAACTGAGATTGATCGGATCTGTTTTGACTGGGATGGTACTTCAAGAGAAACAGATGCCAAGTCACTGGCTATGGGTGATGCTAACTTGGTTTTCGTTCCATCCGATGACGGAGAAGACAAAGTTACTACAACAGGACAGTTTTTTAGATGCAAGTGTGTAGGAGCACGAATCTGGTCAGCGGGGCCCAATTTACCGTCTTCAATTTTGGCAACGTCTGTCTCGCTTTCTATTGCTTCTGAACTGGAACTGAAGTACAATGATTTTTCACTTAGGCTTGACCCTCTTGAGAAGTCACCTCGTGCGTATTCTTCGAGATACAGACAGTGTAAACATTGACTTGAACTCTGTGTCTTTTCGCTCGAAGTGCGACGTCGTAGCCGCCATCGGGGGACATCTAAGGAAGATCCAGAATCAGCTGTTGTGCTAGTAGCTGAATCTAGAGAACGAGACCTCTGATTCTTAGAAGTAGGAACGCTGAGATAGGAAGACGAATATTCGCCTAATTCTTCCTCTTTGGAAAATCGAATTTCATCAAATGAGGCTGACCTCAGCTGTTTCGGAACGTCTAAGAAGGGAGCGGAGGGTGGTAAGGGAGCCTCGATGGCAGGACCTCTTGACTTCTTGAACGTTTCTCGTAGCTTATGCATGCTGAAAAGACGGCCTTTGGCGTTGGGATACTCACTCATTAGAAAATATGATTACCGATCAAGTCCCAATGAAATAGGATACACACACAGATGTGGAATGTTCAAAGAAATAAGATACACACACAGATGTGGAATGTTCAGCTTTTAAGTGAGTAACGTTCTAGTGACAATAAGAGAGAAATACAACATCAACAACGAGGCAGAAAAAAAACAATGAAGAAAATATTAGATAAAATTGGATCATATCTCACTTTTCAAGTATAATAAACTAACACGAAATGTTATAGTTCAAAATTACTGATGTGTAGCACAGATAGAGAATGATGCTAATTTTAATTTGATCTCAAAAGTCAAATTTATCCTTTTTTTAACATTTCAAATTTAGTAAACCATCTGGGAATTTTTAATTTCCGACTGTTTTATTTTGCGAGATTTATTTTTCTAACTTGTAGAGTTGCGTAGTGAAAATATTTTTCATATTACCAGTATTGAGTTAAAACTATGCTTGGACCTACATCTTTCCTCTTTACTTTAAAGGACGCAAAGTTTAGAAAACATTTTTAATATTGTTTCTTTCATGATGCCTGCCTTAATAAATAAAGCAGTACATACGAAAGTACCATGTATTGAAATAGGTGCTCAGATGCTTGAAACTCAATTTTTTGTCACTTTACTAAAAGCGTCTTTCAGTCATCTTCATGTTTATTCAAGACATGCCTTGTTTGTTGGAGCCTTTTTCAAACAAGAAATTTACGAGTTCGTTTAGAAAAAAAAAGAAACATAAATGTTTGAAATACCTTACACTTCAAAACGTATAATATACAACTTTTAGCTCCAACTTTTCCTAAAGATGAGAAATAAACAAAAACCCTGACACCTCACTTATTAGTCTAACCTGATAATGAAGAACTATGAAAGTCCCATTTAACATTCCCTGTATAATTTTATATATGGATAACCAACAGTCTAACTAAGTTTTTTGCATGACATTAAAAAAATTCAAGATTCTACAATCCGGTATCTATTTGAGAGTATGATTCGTTTAAAGAAATGAAGGAATACCATACCTGATGTTGTGAGTTGAAGAATCAATGCTCTATAATTGGTTCTCGCCCGAGTTATTAGTTGAGGAAGAATCAACGTTTCACATTTGACTTTCTCTAGGTGTGTCAGATTCGAATGGAAACATGAAGACCGTTCCGTTCTTTCTGTTCAATGACCTAGCCTCGCTATGCAAGGTGGAAGATCAAATAAAAAACTTCCGATTCAAGGACCTACAGGTGCCAGCAGCTCACCTGGTGAACTGGCAGATTCCACTCAAACGCAACAGCTTCAAAGTATGTCGCCAGCGTACAGACAATGTGGAGTCGATGACGTCAGTTGACTTGGGCGGAGATACGGCTGCTTTACTGAAAGTCTTTGCCAAGATGCATTTTTTTCCCCTTAATGATAAATGTTTGAGAAGCAAATTCTCCGCAAGGCGATCCAATCGCAGGAAAATGCTTAGTTTACAACATCATTACAACTCACCTGTCATATCTCTACCATTCAATCTCTGCCTTGTCGTTAAAAGCGTCCTTGTATCCATGACAACACCACGAACTGAATGAATTCAGTAGCTATGGCGATCTTTGCCCAGCGGAGCGGGTGCTTCTGCTTCTCCGCCGAGAGATGACGGACAAACTAGCGGCGTCGAAATGAGAATGACTACTCGTATATAGTAGAAGAAGCAGCAAAGAGAAGCTACAAGACGAGATAAATGGTTGGTATCTTGATTTTACTTTTCTTTTTAGGTTATAGAATGTTCCAAGGTATTCAAATGAACTGGTAGTGGAATTAGTTGTTGCGTTTTAATGTTCAGTGTTAAGCTACAAATCCAGCTTAAACATATAATCGATTGGTAACAGATATATAAAGATATCTTATCAGTTATGTTGATCACAAGCAAGTGCGTGAGGCAGAAACGCAAGGACAAAATATGATAAAGTGGATAAAACAATCCTCATGTTCAAGAAAACGAGATAATCTTTAAACTTATACGAAATATACCCAGCATGTGAAAGTCAGTTAAATAGGACTTGAGTAGCATATTTAGATCATTTTAGTATCTGTTTCTACAATAATGAAAAACTACTGTCATGCTTGCGGAAAATCCTAGCAGGACATGACTGCAACAAAAATTGAACATGTTAGAGAATTTCACGACCGAAAGAAAAACGTCCATTCTTGACGTACAATAAAACAATTCCAGCGACCACAACTAGAAGTATTCCTTCTAGAGTTCCTCAGTTCTATGTGTCTTGTAAAAAAGAAAACCAGCTTATTTCTGGTAATCTCTCATCAAAACAAATCGCTGACACATTCAATCGTTCAATCCATTAAAGAATGGTATATGGGACTTTCAAAATGTATGGTTAGAGATTTGGATTCAATTTTCACAAGAACCGGTTTATCCTACACAGAATTGGTATCATTATCATCAAAATAGTTTTTCCAATACTATATTATTATTTTTACGAAACGGTTTTATTTGCTGTTAAGCAGAAATAACATTATGAGCTATCTGTGATGGGCCAACAGTAGTGATCGAATCCTGAAAATTACCAATTTTACGTTTTTAAGTATACCGCTGAACCACCGGGACCTTTCACGAAATTAAACCTAGCAAGTTTTTGAGTGATAAGCAAACATATCTCGATGTTTGCATTTTTTTTATTGATTGCAAATTTTCTTTAAAACAGAAACTTGCAAACTTAAGCAAGAAAGCGGTGTTTGGTGATTTTCATTCTCATACTTAACGGTGATTTTCTGAGAGAAATACTAGTAATAGAACAAATAACACTGAAATTCAACAATAAGCGTTACATTTGAACATTTCGTGAATCTTAATATGTAAACAAACCCTGTGAATGCTCTTTTTCATACAATTTAAGAAGATGTCGGTAAACCCAGTGAATGTTCACTTTAGTGTAGCTTAACAATATGTCAACAAACCCAGTAAACGTTCGCTTTAGTGTAGCTTAACGATATGTCAACAAACCCAGTGAACGTTCGCTTTAGTGTAGCTTAATAATATGTCAACAAACCCAGTGAACGTTCGCTTTAGTGTAGCTTAACAATATGTCAACAAACCCAGTAAACGTTCGCTTTAATGTAGCTTAACGATATGTCAACAAACCCAGTGAACGTTCGCTTTAGTGTAGCTTAACAATATGTCAACAAACCCAGTGAATGTTCTCTTTAGTGTAGCTTAACAATATGTCAACAAACCCAGTAAATGTTCGCTTTAGTGTAGCTTAATAACATGTCAACAAACCCATTGAATATTCTCCGTCATACAACTTGAGACGGTGTCAGTAAACTCTGTGAATGTCATATAGCTCAATGTTATATCAGTAAACCTTGTGAATGCAGCCCAAAGATATGTCAGTAACCCAGTGAATGTTCTCTTTCGTGAAGCATAAGGTGATGCCTGTAAATAACTTCAAACACAACATTTTTCTAAGAATCCAGAAGCGCAAAGGTACTTGATACATTGTTTTATGATATAACGCTTATAAAGCCACTGTCACCGTATAAGATACAAAAATGACACAAAGGTAATGTTTTCGATACTCTTATATTTTAGAGTAAATATATTGTTTATATAACGTTTTCAGGAGGCACATTTTTGAGGTTTACCCCTTCAAATCGTACGTTTTGGGGTCCAATTTATCACATGTGTTATTATACATACTGCATATCTTTCTCTGTTCTGTAACAACACGACGGTCGATCAGTTGATCATAGTATCACAAACGATTTGGCATTAATACTAAATTGTACAGAGGCTTCGATATTCTCCTAATCATGAAACTGTCTGTTTCTCTGAAGGCATGGATAACGTGACAGATGTAATCACTTGGGTGAATGTTATTTTGTGCTTATAAAAAGAAGCTGACAACACGAAAGAGAACATTCACTGGGTTTGTTGACATCTTCATTTGCATGAAACAGAACATTCAGTGGATTTTACTAACATTTTGAACTATATGAAAGAGAACATTCACAGGGTTTACTAACATCTTTTTGAGCTATATGAAATAGAACATTCACATGGTTTATTGACATCTTTTGCACTACAAATAGAAAATTCTGAAGTATATGCGCATGCGTGTTTTGTAAGCTCATCAAAAGAACTATTTACAATTTTCTTTGCAGTTCGCGATTACTGACAAATTACCTCACACAATCAGAAATAGATGAAGGAAAAACAAGCTTTTCTGATAGTTTGACTAAGACACTTCACATTACAACTAACTTTACTTATTTTGAGCATCTCCGAGCTCAATTAATTTACAAAAAGTTTAGGTGCACATTTGAGCACACTCTGTTACAAGTGGAGTGTGGATTGAAGTGTTGATTTTCTCTTTACACTTTTAGTATCATACAAATTAGCGATGTAATTGGTGCCTGCTTGAATAAGAAGTAACGTTATAGTTTAGCCAGAGATTCTTTTAAAAAAAATATATATGTCGTTAAAAATATCTTCTAGTTTATTTCCTATAAAGTTCAATTTATTAATTATATCAAATAACTTTTACTGAATAGAAACATGAAATCTAGTGGCTCTTCTAGCTCTATACAGTACAAGTGTTTAGAAGGAAGTCTATGTATCATCGTGGAAAATATTCTCCAATTTCGCGACTTGCTTCGTCTTGTCATCCATCTTTTAGTTTATATAAATTACGGTTGCATCTTTCATTTGGTCCTTTGATTTCTAAAATGAATGCACGTCTCTTTGATTTCCAAATGTAGCATTTAGTTTATATAAATTACGGTTGCATCTTTCATTTGATCCTTTGATTTCTGAAATGAATACACGTCTCTTTGATTTCCAAATGTGGCATTTATTTTATATAAATTACGGTGGCATCTTTCATTTGATCCTTTGATTTTCAAATGTATTTTGGATAAGATAACTTGAGGCAAACAGATCGCTTTCGTTAATTAACTCCACTAATCCTCTCTTTCCATGCGAAGTATTACAGCAGTCATGAAAAACAAACAAACACTAATTATTTTTCATAGATAATGTGTGAGTTGTATCCACCATGGATAATCTCAGCGTCCCTGGTACAAACATTAAGGTGTTCGAGTCGATCTAAAAAATTAGTTCTCAGAAACTACTTCGTAATGAGTTTTTGTTAGAAAACAAGGGGCATGCATTACATTTATTGATTATTTGTATCCTGATAATTGTGGGAAGTTGTTTGTTTGTTTCGGATATTCACGTAAAACTACACAAAGGCTATCTGTATTATCCGTCCTTAATTTGGGTCCGATAAATCAGAGGAGATGGAGCTAGTCAACTGCACCCACCACAGACTTTTGAGCAACTCTAATCTCTAATCGAATACTAGGATTTTACTATGACTCTTATAATGCACCCACGGCTCCAAAGTGCGGAGTGCGAATTCATACGCCGACAGGCTAACCATTAGGTCATTCCCGACCCAACTCTCCACCCCACCCAAAGTTTAAAGCAAACCAGTTTTTTTAAATATACAGGAGTGAATTTTAACCAGAGTGTTTGTTTGTTAGTTTGTTTTTTGGAATTT